AGAGGAGCTTAGAAGTATCCATAGGGGGAAACTAAAACAATGAAGTGGTTCAAAACAGTTATAAAGAAAAAAAAAACAGGAAAATAATTTTTTTATAATGGCATCTGGAACAAGAATATCAATTTTTTTATATTAGGTTACAACATACAAAATCTCTGATTTTGTATGGCACTGAAGGCAGAAACTTTAAATTTCTGAGTGTATTTTATATAAAATCCTCTGATTTGGATTATATACTGTCAATGGCATAATATATTAAAAATAAAATATTTCAAGACACAAAATGTCATATTTATTCAATTTCTTTGTATTATATGCAACAATCAAAGTTTGTAGATATAACAATGAAGTTAAAAATTCATTAAAAAAATAATTGCAACATAGATAATTATAATCATAATATGACTTACATACATATATTATTAATTATTATATTGTATATTGAGACAAACTTACCGCTTGCTCATCTATTTTCATCATACTATCCATCATCTTGGGTGCGTTAGTAGCAAGACGTAAACATGAAAGTTGGACATCTGGTACAATAAACTCTAGTACATCACGGTGCGGTAAACTACGCGATGTGTTATGTTTGGACGATGATGGAATCAAACATTCAGATACGCTTCCTCTAAGAACAGCCAGCTGAAAATCAACATGCACATAAAAACATTAATTTCATATAATAAAAATTTTAAATACATTTAATACAGTAAAATTGATTTCATTACATAATTTTGTCAAAAGAAATTACTTGGATTTAGGGTTATAATGATTATCAATTTCCAATTCAAATTCCAAACAAAATTAAAAAGCAAAAAGAAATGCAGCGTGCGTAAGTTAGACAAGACTTTTTATACCTTAGCGAACCCTCCGATCGCCAAAGATTCCAAATAAAAATATGTATTTTTACTACGCCCACCTCTGACGATCTCTTTAAAAAATTATTATCGCTAAACAATGTATTAAGAAAGTCTCGCCTTAGCATACTTACTTCACTGGTTCTGACTATAACTCTGTATTGGTAGTGGTTGGTTTCTTTATTATCACTTGAGTTTTCTTCATCCTCCATTTTCTCTCGCTTAATACTGATTGCTAAAGGTCCAAGGTGCTCATCATTACCAAAGTAATTATGATGCTCTGTTAATAGTAACAAGAAAACAAAATTACTAATTCAGCCAATGCCTTTTTATTCTTTTTCAACAAAAATATTATCACATTAATACAAAAACCTGGAAATGTTAAAATACAGATTTTATGGCTACCAGTTATCACACACTAAAATCTTGGGGGAAAATGGAGCAATGTATGTAAATATGCATTAAACTAATGTATAATAACTATCACACATTAGTTAATGGTTCAGAGAATGTGCAATGTTGTTTTCTTGTGATCTATTGATTTTAATATTATTTTGTGTTTGTTCTTTATTTTTTTTTCTGATTTTGTAACTTTTTTATCTTGCATTTCTGTGATCCAGACTTGACCTAGGCTTGTAAATATTTGTTCTCCTTTATTCTATTCTGTATATTTTCATGTCTTAATGAATAAAGTGATTTTAAATATAGTAAGAACATTAGCCTCTTGAATGTACATCTAAAGTAGTGTAACGTTTAAGTTCCAAAATTCATCAATAAATGTCAATAACATCTTAATGTCTATATTTGCCATAAGCTCTAGGGAAACAGAATAAAACAGTCGAACAAAGAAAAAAATGAGTACATCAAAGGATCAGAGTAAGCCTATTGATATTGATAAGCAACTAATTAAGTAAGAAAAAACACATTTTTAAAGTTATCAACATTTATGTTTTGTTTATTAATATTGAAAACATAATTTTTGTCCCTATCCTTAACATTACTATCACTATTATTATTATTATTACTATTAGTATTATTATTATTAATAATAATAATAATAATAATATTGCTATTATGAATATACATTTTTATAGCCTTTATTGCTTGTCTATGTACTTTCCGATTTTTTGCCATTTGACTGTACTGTATTTTAATGTACAGTATACATTTACACTGATTAGGTTTTCCAGG